CACCCCACCCCCGCAAAGCAGGTCTGGGTGTTGGCCCTCTGACTCCACCTCAAAGGGCAATGGGAATAAGGAGGGAGGATAGGCAACGCGTGTGCTGGCCTAAGGTAGCTCCCCTAAGAGTAAAAAGAAAAGAAAAAAAAAAAATCTCTGTCAACCAGGCTAGTGACCCAAGACCCGCAGCCAGAGTCCCCAAGGGCCAGGGAAACCTCATGGAGGACAAGGCTTGGTGCAGCCCCTCAGAAGACAGCCTTCCTTCCTAAGCCACCCAGACTTCAAAGGGAAGGAGGGAGCCCCGCGGTAGATAACAACTGCAGAGGAATGTCCATAAATCAGCAGGCTGCTGAGTTCCCTGAATAAACCGGAGGGGAGGGGGCCAGGCTGGCTGAGAGGGAGGGGCAGGCTGTGCAGCAGCCCAGATATAAGGGGTCCCTCCTCCCACCCAGCAGCCTGCTCATCCAGCCTGGGAGGGAGCCCCACATTCCACTGCTGGCCTTCTGCCAGTCAGAGGGCCTAGCCCCCATTTCTCAGGCCTCCCACCACCCAACTACCAGAAGTGTCCAGACCACCAGGCACAAAGCGGGGATGGCCACTCCCCCACCATGACACCCCCAACCTGGAGAGCCGAGAGTCAAGTCGGAAAAGAAGTCTGCCAACGGGGCAATGAGGGGTGCACACGGATCTGTTGAGGGGCATTTGTCCAAAGGCCAGGGGGCAGGTGCAGAGGGTTGGGGGCCGTTTCCTCAGCCTTGGGTATGACCCAAACTCATGTGGGTACCCAGAAGCCTCCTGAGGTAACACCACATGGCTCTTACACTAGGCACGGCCCCAGCAGCACCATCTGTAGAGAGTGAAAGGTCAAGCGGAACCGTGGTGGATACCCTGACCATGGATTTGTGTAGGCCGCCCCAAGGCACTAAAGACCACCGAAAAGCAATCCTCCCTGACACGAAGGCCAGATCTAGTGGAGTGCCCTAAGACCAGGTCTCAAGAAAAGAGACCGTCTCCAACTATACCCAGCACTCCTTAGCCCCACCATGAGTGGCCCTTCCAGGGCCATCATACCTCCCTGAGGGTTCACCCCAGCTCCACTCAACACCCTAAACTAAACCACAGTTAGCTCTTCTCTATGACCATAAAACACTCTCCAGCAGAGAATACCTTCTGAGAATACATTCCTGAGCTCAGAGTGCCCACACATCAACCCACCCACGGTCCTCACGGGACCTTGCCCGCCAATGCTGTTCTGTGGAGACATAAAGACAACCCTGGCACCTTGACATGACCAGTGGACAAAATAAAGATACCAAGGGCAGGTTACCAGCCCAACAGAGAGCACACAGTGACATCCCACTTGGCCACAGAACCAGGAATGTCAACAGATTGTAGCCTGGGCTCTTTCCCGGCAGCCCAGGGCCAGGATGGCAGAGCCCATCCTGTCCTGTCCTGTCCTGTCCTGACCCACATACAAGATGATGTTTGGGCTGGGCCTCCCCTCCCACAGCTTCTCTGGCCCGCGGTCAGGCTCCTGAGCAGTCAAGTACTGTAACTGAAAACACTGTAGTGTACTAAGGCCTCCTTCCCACCAACCCCCATGCCCCAAGCCCCACAGCTTCCTGAGTGATTTCCTTGGGTGGGGTGGGGGTTTCCAATTAGCAGCATACAGCTCCCCACGCTTACTTGGGTGAGAATCTATAAATATTTGCATGTGCTCAGGACTTCATTAGCAAGCCACAGAGCCGGGCAGGGGAAAACGCGCACACACACAATCTCTCACTAAGGGGCAATGTGACTAATGACGTATCAAATGAGTAACCACTGCCGCACTTAAGTCCAAATTAAAAACACTGCTAGTTGCCGCCAGATCCCTGGGCAGAACGCAATTCACGTTTTCATCTCGGAGGGGAGGCAGAGGCTGCAGACCCCTTGAGGTGCAGAACGTTTGCCACGGTTGAGCTAAGGGCCTTCCAGGAAGTCCGCCTGCTCTGACATCCCAGATGGGGAGGTTGAGTCTCCCCGAGTCCTCTCCCGGCTGGAGCAAAGCTCACAAGTCCCTGCAGTTGTAGTGGCTAACTGTGCGTTCCTCCCCGTTTTCCGAGCACACAAGGCCGTCACACCCCTTTCTGCCCATTCCTAACACTTCTGAGGGGCGGCGCGAGGATTCTGACCTAGGAGTGAGGAGACCCCGGAAGCTGCAGGCTCCCTTTGCAATGAGACCCCAGAGTCAAGGACCATCACCTAATGCCACCCCTTCAGGCTCTGGTAAAGCCTTGGCATGTGACCTTTGGCTATCCCACTGGGCCCAGCTGGGCCTTGATACCGCCAGACTCCATTGCCTTCCGATCCCCAGGAATAGGAGCCTTGGGGGAAGGAGCCTCACTGGAACCATGCTGGAGAAACCCTGGGGCGGCGGGGTGGGGGATGTGGGAGGGTGTCACTGAACAGAAAAGGGAGGACAGATGCAGAGGAAAGGAGGCTGCCAACCCCACGGCCCATCCACCCGAGATTCCGTGCTGGGGAAGGTGAGTGGCCAGAGGCTGTGCCAGGGACCCCCGCCTGGGCCTAGCATGCTAGAGCGAGCATGGCTCCTGACTCCCTACTCCAGACTTTCGTTCCCTGAAGTGTGCCATCTTCAGGCAGCGCTCATGCATTCACAAGTGGGATTCTGTGTGCTAATAACCCAGGGGCCTGCCTGCAGGGGTCACCCAGACCTGAAGGTCCAGAGAGCCTCACGCCGACTCAGGAACAACCAGGAAAAGACCTCTGGGGACCACCAAGGACCCTAGAGCCTGGACTTGCCCTGCAACTGGTGGGGGGGGGGCTGGGCTTTTCACAGGGGGTGGGGTCCCCTGCAGACTCCAGAACACTGAACACATCCAGGAGAAGTTGAGCTCCTGCGGGACCACACGGGGAAGCATGGCCAGAGCCCGGGGTAGCTCAGCCCCCAGAGCTCCCTTGAAGGGGCCACTTTTCACTGCAGCTGAGAAAGAGCCTGCTTCTAGCCTGGAGGTGGGAGAACCTCACTGCTGTGGGTGTTGTCACTGCCCCTGCCGTGGATGTGCGCAGGTCCTCCAGGCTGGGGGTGGGGGTCCACAGGGAGCTCAGGCACCACTTTCTACCTCCCCTATTCCCGCCCACGGGCCTGCCTCCCGGGGCTGATGGCCTTCCTCTGTTGTCTTTGGCCATAAGGAGGAAGGGCTGTGGGACTGGGTCACCAGAGCGTAATTAGTGGTCTGGGTTAGTCTGAATAATACACTTGGAGCTTCGGCAGCCTGAAAGCGTCACTCCGCCCAGGAAAACAAACAGCTCGCCAGCTCACTGGCCAGGCTGGAAACCCAGGGAGGGCTGCAGAGGGAGGACTGCAGAGGGAGGACGACTGCGGAGGGAGGACTGCAGGGCAGGCAGAACACGGGCCTCTAGGAAGCTGTTCTTCTACCAGGGGCAGGCAGGGCCACAGACTAACCTGAGCTCGGTGGGCCTAATCCAGAGCAGAGCCCACAAGAATCCAGACTGTCACTTGTGTCGGGTGGAATTCCCAAAGTGGGAGCTCACGGGCAGAGGAAGGAAACAAGAGCAGCAGTCTCCAAAGACGACTGGCCTCTGCCAGCGCCTGCGGGCACTTCAGGCCACCCATTGCACCAGTCGGTGCGTTCAGACCACACAGACAGAGCAGGAGGGCTTGGGGGCGGGATACGCACGGCACTCCATTGCGCTGTCAGCCGATGTGGAAGCTGGGCACTTTGTAAGGACCTGGCTGGCATGGCCAGGCAGCCCCAGGCAGGCCCAGGGCCCAGCATGCAGGCATGCCGCTATTGATCAATGGTTCTCAACTGGTATGACGCTACCCCTGGGGACACCTGGAGATGTCTGAGATATCTTTGGTTGTCACAACTGTTGTGGTGAGCACCAGCCAAGGAGACTTCCAAACATCCAGCAATGAGCAGGACCGTCCCGTCAACAAAAAGCCACCAGGCCGGTGTGTCTACAGAACGGGAGCTTGGACCAGGGTGGTGAAAGGCCTCCAGGACAGGGGTTCTGGGACAGGCAGCTCAGAACTGAGGGGAGGAGATGGGGGCAGAGTCACTGAAGGCCTGAAAGCTTGGGGGGGGGGCATCTTCCAGGGAGCCTCCCACACAGCTGCCACACAGGCCCAAAGGACCGAGCATTCTGTGCAGTCCCCGCCCCATGCCCAGGGGCTGAGATTTGACCCTGTGACTCCTGGAAGCCGCAGCTGTGTCGGCCCCTCCTTGGCTCCACCACTTACAGGTGTAGCCTCCTCCAACCCTGCACTTCAAGTGTCTCGATGCAGAACTGGGGTGGTGGGGGGTGTTGGAAGAAGGATGAGGGGGGCGTTGGAAGAAGGCTATGACATTCCCACCAACACACAGGCTCGCCCGGGACATCCAATGGCAGGCCAGTGAGAAAGGCTGGCCAAGGAATACCACTGCAGGGCTCGCTCGCTGTGAGACTGCAAAGCAGGAATTAACGCCAGCATGGAAGGGGCAGGTCTCAAAGGGCACCTAAAGGCAGGACTAGCACATTCTGGAGGCGGGCAGCTCCCAGGACGGGAGAGGAGGAGGAAGAGGAGGAAGAGGAGGCACAGCAGACACAGCACACAGAGCGTAGCAGCCCTCCTGCCCCTCGGCGCCACTGCACACCCCTCTCCCCCAGCAGCTCTACCTGGAGCCGGCTTCTCTGGCGGCCGTAGGGGCGGGGCAGCTGGAAGGAAAGAAGACAGCATCACCCTGACAGCCTGTGCCATCGGCCCAGTCCCTTTCCTGGGACAGGGACCGGCTCGAGCCATGAGATCTCAGATGTGCCGGGCAGTTTTACCACACTCGGGGCCAGGATGGAGGATGCTGGGAAGCCACTCAATGTTTGAGACGACAGGGGTGGACTGAACACAGGGCCTCAGCCCAACGCTCAAATACCTTTCTAGGGAAAACAGCCTCCTGAAGGGCCTAGGGGCACCCCCAAGGCCCCAGCCAACTCCGAGAGGCCTGGGAGACACCCAGACATGCCAACTGGATCTGCTTTCCTTCTCTCCAGTCTTCAGAGAACTCGTTTGCAGGCCGTCAGGAACAAAGGGGCAGCCGCTTCGGCCGGGGGCCCTGAGACTTCTTTCCCTTAGCACTAGATCAGGTAGAAAAGTCACCGCAACCCAGCTGGCACCACCTCCCCTAACCCCCAGCCAGTTTCATACTTCACATCCCGCTGTCAAAGCTGGCAGAGGGATCACCGGGACCACGAGGCCTGGGACAGACAGAGTGGCTTACTCACGGGACAGCCAGATCCCCCTCGACACCGGGACTATCACACCCTTTCAGGTGAAAGGTTCAGGTGAACCTTTCACCTCTATTGGTTCACTGAATAAGAGAGAGATAGGCCAGAGGGGAGCCATCTGGAGGGATGCAGACTTACAGTATGAAAAGTCCACTGTAGACGGATAAGTCCGAACAGCTTACCAACTCCCTGGGCCTCTGCTTGCTAGACATACCCTGTAGTCAGTAGAAGTGGCTCCCAACATGGCCCTCACTACCAGCTGGCCCACATCTGTGTTTTCCACAGCTGCCTTTTAACTCTCTGAGTGGCATGTATGGCAGGTAAATTAGTGGTCTTGTTTTACAGATAAGCAAACTGAGGCAAAGGGAGGTCACAGCAGCTGCCCAGCGTCCTCCCGCAGATAGGTGGCGCTGGTGAGCCATCTTCAGGCTCTGCTCAGCATGGACTCCTGGTAGATGTTCCCGAAGCCTTCACTGCTGAAGCAGAGAGCAAGATGCTTAGACCCCCACCCGGGCACCTGGATTCCCTGCCCTTCTGCTGAGGCTGGACAACGGGGTCCCTGGCAAGGAGCAGCCAGAAAGACTCAGGTCCTTGCCAAACAGCACTTCAAGCCCTCCAGAGCCATGGCACGGTACTGCTCAGGCAGGGGGGCAAGGTGCCAGCCCAGACCCCGAGCTAGATGAGAAGTCAGTGCACCATGGCAGACACCAACCAGCTGTCACCATAAAAAGGCAGTGAGAAGTTGGTTAAATGCCTTTAACCCCAGCACTTGAGAGGCAGATGCAAGTGGATTTCTGTGAGTTCGAGGCCAGCCTGGTCTACAAAGCATGTTCCAGGACAGCTAGGGCTGTTACACATAGAAACCCTGCCTTGAAAAAACAAAAAATAAGTAAATAAAAAAGAGGCAGTGGGAGCAATGAGTTTAGAGGGACGGACACACGGATGGGGGCAGCCCCACCCTGCTCAGGAGTGTGAGAAACAAAAAAGGAGGCTTCAACAAAGGAACTTGGATGGTGGTCGATGGTTCCTAGCCAAAGGCCTGTTCCAAAATCAGAGTAACACTTCATGCAGGGACAGGGGGGCGAGGCTATCGGCCAAGACAGCACAGTTGGGGCACTTGGGACAATGAAAGACAGACAGACAGACAAGGACTGCCCACCCAGGAGTGCTGCCGGGGCCACACCAGGCACTCTGCTTGGTGACACCGCCATTCCTGACTTACAGGGAGGAAACTAAGGCACGAAAGGCAAAGAGCTTGGCCTGAAGCCACAGGTTAACCAGGGGACAGAAATGGCTGGAACTCAGACCCGCCCAGTGCCCAAACCCACTTCCTGGGGGTTCACAGGAGGCCAGTGCCACACTTGTATGCCAAACTGCCCCTCCACTCATGGTTAAGTCCTAACCCCCAGTCCTAGCCTTAGGATGATGGAGGCCGTCAAAGAGGTGAGTAAGTTCAAGTATGCTCACGAGGGTGGGCCCTCATCCAAGGTGACTGGCGTCCTTGTGAAAGAGACAAATTAGGTCCAAGACAGAAAAGTAGGGGGGAACACAGGGATGTGCCATCAACAAGTCAGGGGAGGTCTCAGGATAACCAGGCCTGTTAGCACCCCGATCTTCAGCTTTCAGCCTCTTGGGCAGAGACTAAGTTTGGTAGCCTGTGCTCTCCCCCAGCACCGGCTCTGGTGTGTGGAACTCAGCAGTCCACGTAAATTAATAGGGCCTCCATGCCAGGAGGCACTCCCCCATCCTGGCTTCAATTTCTCTACCTGCTTGTCTGGTGTAAATCACCGTGGTACCCGGCACCGTGTGGGAGAGCATGGGGGTTTCGGAACAGAGGAGGGCAGGGGTGATTCCCAGCCCTGCGGCTAGACTACAGCCTCCCTCCAGGGCCCCAGCCGCAGCTGCAGCCACAGCGGGTCCCGCTGGCCTCAGTGAGAGAGCACCAGGGTCGCTTGCTCTTTTGTGAGGCCGGCTTCAGGGCGGTTCTGGAGGCTTCATTTATCAGCCCAGCAGGGGGCTAACTGGAGGCCCCAGCGTCGATTACAGCGCCCCCACCCCGGGTCCCGGCTGGGCACAGAGAATCTGCAGGAAAAATAATGTGCGTGGAGTCCTGGGATGAATCATCTCGGAGGAAGCAGCTGTGTTGATGAAATTTTAAAGCCAACACGAGAAAGAAAATATGAACTGCACTACGGCAATTTAGCCTGTGAACACCCTGGCACATTTTTAATTAAAGCTATTTCGGAGTTAAATAGAGGCCGTGGGGGAGGGGGAGAGGGAGAAGTTGGGGGTAGGAGTCGGTGGAGACTCTCTGGCCGCCCACTCGAACCCCAAGGACACATCACCTTACAATATTGCTGACAATATTCCTCATTCCTGCTTTTCGCCAGTGGGCAATTTCTCTGCTTTGTGAGGAGCTGGGGGTTTCGGTTGCATATGATTTCCTGACAGAATCATGAAAATCCACTCACCAGAGCCCAGAGGCTGAGGAGTGAGGACAGGAACTGTCCTGCCATCGCCGCCAAGCCACCTCCTTCCTCAAGATCCCCAAACGTTCTCTCCCCACAGCTCCCCTCCCCGCCCACCAGAGCCACAGCACGGTGGCCTGTACAGACAGTGCTCCTGCTACCTGTCCGAGCAACCGCAACCGTGCTTAGTTAAGGCAACCTTCCGGCAGCACCTGGGTGAGAATCAGCTCCCTTCTAGGAGACTGGGTGGGGAGCGGCTGGGGGCTGCCCTGGCTCATGCACCCAGCTCAATCACGCGAGGTGTCAGAGGCGTGCGGATGAGGCCACTGAGGCTCGGCCAGCCACCCATTCCTCAAGCAGCTGGCAGTCAGATGAGAGGAAGGACAGGAATCCACAGGAAGGAACATGACAGGAGAGTATTTGCCAAAGACAGATGACAGCCCAGGGCCAAGGAGACTCGGAGCAAGTGCAGACACACCTCAGGGTGTGCACATGGGAGGGTCAGAATGTAGATCGAATCCCTACGGAGAGACATAGGGCTGGCCACTGCCAGGGAGGGAGGGGCTGCTACTCCTCGGTAGCATTCACCTGTAGTACAGGTCCATGGCCTGGTCCAACACTTGAACCTGGGGCATAGGTTCCCAGAGACAAAAGTTCAAGCACAGCCCCAATCTCTGCAGAAACAGGAGCATGAGTTGTCCTCTGATTAGGCCGTGGAGCACACTTCCTGTGGAAATGACAGCGGGAGCAGCATCCTGAACTTGAAAAAAGCGCTCCTCGCCTGCCTCTCCACAGGAACAAAGGCCAGCCTGAGGCTGACGCTGCCCACAAAACACAGGTTCCCTCAGCAAAGCAGCGGCCTGACCCACAGGAGGGAACAACTCCCTTCCCTCCGGGCTGGACGTGAACCTTCAGCAGGTGCTGCCCTTCACCCAGTACGGCTGGCACCACTCACTGCTCCCCTGGCCCCACTAGCAACCACATGCAGGGCGGGCTCCCAGGGGGTGCTGGGGTCCAGGGACATCCGCCCCACCAGGTGAGACCAGTCCAGACCAGTCCAGCGGGGCGGCCTATGGCGGTTACACTGTGGGACTAAATTCACTCCTGGGATATGAGCCTCCCAACAGCCACCAGTGGGCAGAGGAGGTCACGGTCTTCCTATGCAGGGCAGTGGGCATCAAGCCCAGCAGGTCACCTGGCAACAGAGCCAGGCATCTGAGCTATTTCTAAGGCTGTTTCAGCCGAGGAGAGTCACTTATGGAGCAGCAGGTCTCAGTAAGAGAGGAGGGAGAGGCTAAGATTGAGCCAGGGGTGAGTGGCATCGGCTGGAGGGACTGGAGGGACTTGCCAAGCTCGCTGGGCCCAGGCACTCTAATCAGAGCATACCATAACCTCTCATCACCATCCCCACCAAAGCAGACATGTCTGGCTCCTCCACGTCCAGTCACAGTCCACAAGAGGCTCGACACCCTTTCATCAGACACCTTTCCGTGGTCACCAAGTCCTGCTCCCGCCATCCTAACATTCTCCTGCACAGATCCACGACCCCAGTTGTCCATGGGAGCAAGGCTAGGCCTGGGAGGCAGGAAGGTAGACCTAGTGAGGAACTGGCTAGCAGGGGACGGGGGTGCCATATGGGTCTGTCGGAGGGATAAAATGGACCATTTTCTTCACCCGTTATGTGACCCTCATCTCTGTGGGCCCAGTGCCAGCCACGGGATGCCCGCACGCACACACACTGGGGCAGCAAGCAGCAGTCAGCATGGCTGGCGAGCCCTGGCCACCCAAGAGCCTGGATCAGAGCGAGGATCGAGCCTGTGACCAGGCTTTCTGGGGATACAGCTGGAGAGACCGAAGGGGTAGGGTGGAAGCTACGGGAGCCCCAGAGAAGCTGGAGGTGGGACAGCTTCCAAAACAGTGGCCACTGGGGCCCAGGAGCCAGTACCCCCATAATCCACTTACCTGTGGGGGGAGCTTGTCACCCTCCAATAGCTTCACCTTGGTCTCCAGGGGCCTGATGTAGGTGGATGAGGGATCTGAGGGACAGAGAGGAAGAAGAGGGTATGTTAGCCACCAGCAGACTCACCCCATGGGCAGACCCCACCCTACCCTGGCACTCCCTCCATGTGGTCCCTGAAATCTGGTTTCCAGAAAGATGATGATGTGATGTGTTCCCCGGCCTACATGTCCCGGGGGTGATCCCTTCTGCTTCCAAGAAGTTTCAGGTTCAAAAGTAGTTGGCATAATATCTACAAGTAGAGTCAGCCCACCCCAGGCCCAAAGTCCAGGAGGCCCCTCTCTACTATGTAGTGGGGAAACTGAGGACAATTAGCGTGGCAAATGTGGTCCTAAATCTGGACAGTCAGCTTCACGGGAGGGAGAGATGCCTAGGAGATGGGGGCTTGTCAATGTGGATGTTTCCAGAGATGACTGATGTATAAACAGGAACCCACCCTGAATGTGGGCAGCAGCACTGTCCAATGAGTTAAGGGCTCAGGGCTTCAAGCGAAACAAAAGTAGAAAAAAGAAGCCCACTACCATGGGTCTGTTCTCTCTCTCTCTCTCTCTCTCTCTCTCTCTCTCTCTCTCTCTCTCTCTCTCTC